GGATTCCCTGTTTAACAAATGGTGTTGGGAAAACTGGCTAGCCATGTGCAGAAAGCAGAAACTGGACCCCTTCCTGAAACCTTACACTAAAATTAACTCCAGATGGATTAAAGACTTAAACATAAGACCTGGCACCATAAAAACCCTAGAAGGAAATCTAGGCAAAACCATCCAGGACATAGGAGTAGGCAAGGACTTCATGAACAAAACACCAAAAGCATTGGCAACAAAACTCCACAGCTTCTGCACGGCAAAAGAAACAGTCACTAGAGTGAATCAGCAACCAACAGAATGGGAAAAAATTTTTGCAGTTTACCCATCTGACAAAGGGCTGATATCCAGAATTTACAAAGAACTCAAACAGATTTACAGGAAAAAAACAAACAAGCCCATTCAAAAATGGGCAAAGGATATGAACAGACACTTTACGAAAGAAGACATATATGAGGCCAACAATCATATGAAAAAATGCTCATCGTCACTGGTCATCAGAGAGATGCAAATCAAAACCACATTGAGATACCATCTCACGCCAGTTAGAATGGCGATCATTAAAAAATCTGGAGACAACAGATGCTGGAGAGGATGTGGAGAAAAAGGAACACTTTTACACTGTTGGTGGGAGTGTAAATTAGTTCAACCATTGTGGAAGACAGTGTGGTGATTCCTCAAGGCCTTAGAAATAGAAATTCCATTTGACCCAGCAATCCCATTACTGGGTATATATCCAAAGGACTATAAATCGTTCTACTATAAGGACACATGTACACGAATGTTCACTGCAGCACTGTTTACAATAGCAAAGACCTGGAATCAACCCAAATGCCCATTGATGATAGACTGGATTGGGAAAATGTGGCACATATACACCATGGAATATTATGCAGCAATCAGAAATGATGAGTTTGTGTCTTTTGTAGGGACATGGATGAATCTGGAGAACATCATTCTCAGCAAACTGACACAAGAACAGAAAATGAAATACTGCATATTCTCACTCATAGGCGGGTGATGAAAAATGAGAACACATGGACCCAGGGAGGGGAGTACTAATCACTGGGGTCTATTGGGGGTAAAAGGGGAGGGCCAGCAGGGGGGGGAGCTGGGGAGGGATAGCCTGGGGAGAAATGCCAAATGGGTGAAGGGGAGAAAGGAAGCAAAACGCACTGCCATGTGTGTACCTATGCAACCGTCTTGCATGTTCTGCACATGTACCCCCAAACCTAAAATGCAATAAAAAATCAAAAAAAAAAAAAGAATTTTGCATTATATTCCTAAGGAATAGTAGTCTACAGTTTTTTTTTTTTTTTTTTCCTTATATGGCCTTCATTTGGTTTTGGCATCAGGATAATGCTGGCCTCATAGAAGTATTTGGAAAATATTCCCTCTTCACTTTTCTGGAAGAGTTTTTGTGGAATTGATATTATTTCTTCCTTAAATGTTTCATAGATTTACCAAGAAAGCCATATGAATCTTGAGTTGTTTTGTGTGTGGGTGTATGTGGGGGAAGGTTTTAAGCTACAGATTTAATTTCTTTAGTAGATAAATAGCTATTTAACTTAGCGATTTCTCCTTGAGTGAACTTTAGTAGTTTGTGTCTTTCAAAAAACGTGTCCATCCTATGAAAGTTGTCAAATTTATTGGCATAAAGTTGTTCATAATATTCCCTTATTATTATTTTTACATTTATGGACTCTGTAGTGATGTCACCTCTCTCATTCCTGCTAATAGTAATTTGGGTTTTCTCTCTTATTTTCTGATCAGTCTGGGTGGAGGTTTTTTGATTTGTTGATCTCTCAAAGAACCCACTTTAGTTTCATTGATTTTTTTCTTTTGTTTCCCTGCTATTATATTGCCTTCTGCTCTGATCTTTTTTATTTCTGTTCTTCCACTTTGATTTCACTTGCTCTTAAGTAGAATAGGAGCTTATTGATGGGAGATCTTTATTTTCAAAATAGGTATTTAGCACTATAAATGTCTTTCTGCTTTAGCTGCATCCTGCAGATTTAGCATTGCCTCAGCTGTATCCCACAGATTTTTATATAACGTGTTTTCATTTTTATTCACTTTGAGATTCTTTCGAATATCCCCCTTTGAATTCTTTTTTTGGGGAGGGCACAGGGGGACAAAGTCTCACCGTGTCACCCAGGCTGGAGTACAGTGGCATAATCTTGGCTCACTGCAACCTCTGCTTCCTGGGTTTAAGGGATTCTCACGACTCAGCCACCAGAGTAGCTGGGGTTACAGGCGTGCGCTACCATGACGGGCTAATTTTTGTATGTATAATAGAGATTGGGTTTCACCATGTTAATCAGTCTGATCTTGAATTCCTGTCCTCAAGTGATTTGCTGGCCTCAGCCTCCCAAAGTGTTGGAATTACAGGCATGAGCCACAGTGCCCAGCCCATCCTTTGAATTCTTAGTAGCTCATGTGTTATTTAGAAGTGTATTATTTACTTTCCAAATATTTGGGAGGTTTTTCTAGATTCTTTTTGTTATTGATTTCTAGTTTAATTCTATTGTGGTCAGAGAACATACTCTGTATTATCATTATTATTGTTATTTTTTTAAAAAACTAAGGTATAATTTATATACCACTTTGCATGATTTTAATCCTTTTAAATTTATTGAGATTTGTTTTATGGCTTAGCATATGGTTTATCTTGATAAATGCTACCTGGGCATTTGAAAAAATGTTTTCTGCTGCTATGGAGTGGAATATTCTATAAATGTCCATTAGATTAGGTTGGCTGATAGCATTGTTTAAGTCTTCCACATCTTTACTGATGATCTGTCTCCTAATTCTATTAATTACTGCATTTTATAGATATTGTCTGACTATAATTATAAATTTTTCTATTTCTCCTTGGAGTCCTATCAGTTTTGCTTCATGTACTTTGAAGCTCTCTTATTAGGTGCAAACACTTTTAGAGTTTTTACGTCTAGTTGATGAATTAAAATGTCCCTCTTTATCTCTGGTAATATTCTTTGCTCTGAAATTTTCTTTGATAGTAATATAGCCATGAATATTTAACATTTTAATAGAAATTGCCAAATTCCCTCTCAAAAAAGTCTGTATCATTACACAAGGTGTCCCCTATTCTGTCCATATCTGAGATTTTGATACGAACCTTCCTCTAAACATGTAATGTTTCTTCTGAATTGGGATGAGCTAATGCCTTTCCAGGCCACTGGATCTTTAGCTGCACAATGGTGGCAATTAATTGCAGCTCTGGCATCAAATATGTGGGTGCAAGGGTAGCAGGGCAGACCAGGGGTTAGGCACAGGGTTAAGGGGAAGATTCTGAGAAGACAAATGAGAAGTATTTTCATTGTCAGAAGAGGCACAGGCAAAGGGGCATCTTAAGCCAGTTCAAGATACTAGGGCCAGATGAATTAGATCTCAGGGCAGTGAACTTGTGATGTCAGAGTCACTACAGAGGTCTGATAGATGTACTCAAGGTTGAAAACAGGTACTTTTTTTTAGTGGGTAAAAAAAAAATAGACTATTTGTGTCAGTGAAGAAAGTGATGAGTACAGGGAGCCAGAAAGTGTTCACTAAAGACTTACTTAGTTCATTTTATTTGCTGCTAGGGTTACCCAGTTGGTGGATCTGCAAAGGTCCCAGTTGCCTTGGCCCCAAAAGAGAGGTAGAACCAAATAGGTTATTAGAGACAAACAGATCCAGGAGATTCTGTCTGATAGGTGTTGCAGGTCATCAGCTTAAGACCAGCACCTGGTTTCCCTATTAGGCGTGTTTAAACACATTAGGTCAGACCACCACCTCTCCATCTGTTTGGATGAGGCAACAGCGAACAGCCTCAACAGACCTATTAAGTACTCAGGTCTAAAGGCCCTCTGTTTGGTGGGCTCTGCAGTCACTAGAACCATAAACAGACTACTGGCGAATTATTGTTTAATTATTGCTTAAAAACAGATGGGCACAATACAGCCACCGCATTAATTACCCCATAAAGCATCTGTTTTCTTTTTTTTGCCGTCTTCCCCATTCCTCCCCAGCCCCTCTCCCCACTTTAATTGAAATTGAGCTTGCTGTAACACCTCCTTTCTCCTGGCCAAATGGATCTCTCCATTCACACAACGGAGAACAACAAAACCGAGAAGGCCCCAGGGATTAGAGAGTTTTGACAGCTGTCCAAGAGGAGCGCGGATATAGGGGGCCAAGTACGGAGGCAGGACCGAGACGAACGAGGGCCAAGAGAGTGACGGAGGGAGGGAGAGATAGGCAGGGAGACATTACAGGAGCATTAAACTGGACAAAGAGTCACAGAGATAGGCGGAGATGTTTAAAGGGGTTCTGAAAAGGGGAAAAGGACGGGAAAAGATAAAAAGGATAGAAACCGTGGCGAACTGGTGAGGAAAATGTGAGCGGCTCAGGAGGGCTGGGAGACGGGAGATCAGGAAGGAGGGGAAGAAAGGCCGGCCTCTAGGGACAGGTCATTCCAGCTTGGGGACTCCGCAGACCGTGGGCGGGCAACCTGGTGCTCCCCTCACACACCTGGGCGTGGAGTGGGCGGAGGAGGTGGCCGCGGGGCGGGGAGGAGGACCGGCGGCGCGTGCGGAGCTGAACGCGCAGCACGCAGGCCGCAGAGCCCCCTGGATGAGCCTGGCGTGCGCCTTGCAGCCCCGGGCTCGCCCGGCGGCCCCGCCTCCTCCTCTGCCCGAGCTTTTCTGGGCTCAGGAAAGCCGGCCTAGCAACGCCTCAAACAATAGCTGGGGACTAGGGCTCCGCTCCCCGGGAGGTCGGCCCGGCGCCGCCAGAAGCCCGAAGCGAGCCGTCCGCCTGGGCCGGAGCTTCAGTACAGCTCGGCGCTGCCCGGGTCATTGTTGGCCGGGACTGAGGGAGCGGGAGCCGGGGGAGGAGCAGGGGAGGCGGCGGCGGCGGCGGCGGGAGCCTGAGAGCTTGCGAGGGAAGAAGGGAGGTAGCTAGTGAGCGAGGGAGGGAGGGAGGGAGGAGGTAAGGAGACCGGGAGGGTAGGAGGGAGGAGGAAAAATAAAAGAGGAGAGAGCGCAGCAGGGCTGAACAATAGAGACAGGCGGACGGGCCAGCCGGAGAACCAGCTGCTGCTGCTGGGGACAGCGGGCGCCGAGGCGGCCCGCACCCCGGTCCCAGACAGACAGCAGGCGGCCAGCGCCCTGGGGAAGGGGTACCATGGGAGGCTTGGCGTCCTCTGTCCCAGCCCCGCCGCCCAGCGCCCGTCCTCGAAGCCCCTCGGGCGCCGAGCAGCCCTCGGCCCAGGCTTCTGCGGCCCCCGGCTGCCGGCGGACGCCCTCGCCCAGTCATGAACCCCCACGAGGGAGCAGCGGAGGAAGGAGGAGCAGCCGAGGAAGGAGGAGCCCCCGACTCAGACGTGGACGCCTTTTTCCGGACAGGTAAGCTGCGCAGAGCGCGGGGGGCCGGGGCTGAAGGCTGCTGCCTCCGACGCGGCGTCTCGGACAAGTTTGGGGAAGGAGGACTGTTGCCGCCGCGTGCGTGTTGCGGGACAGTGCCCCCTCGGCGTCGGGGCTGGAGTTGCGGAGATTCTGGTTGTTATGGCAGTGCCGGTTGCGTTTGGGGAGGGCGTGGGGGCTGAGAACTCGGCGCCTCTCCGCCTTCATCCCAGTTGCGGGAGTCTGTGCTGGGGAGGCGGGAGGCGGTCCCCTTGGGCCGCTTTCTCCCGGAGCGCGCGGATGGGCGGTGTTGGCTCACTTCGCAGCGCGCCGCTCGGGCTACCGGCGTCCCGGCCCCTCCCTCCGCTCCCTCTCCCCCGTGCCTGTCAGCAGGGCTCCAGGCGGCCACCCTGCGCCGGCACCCCTCCTCCCCGTCCGGGGCCCGGGTCCCTGATGTGCACAGAGGGGCGGTGGGGACCCGGAGCCGCGCCGGCAGCTGACTGACAGGAGCGGGGCGGACAACAGCGGTCTCGCCTGGTGCCTGTGGAGAGCCAGCCCCTCTGACCTGAGGGGCAGACCCGGCTGAGAGGGCGGTGGGCGCCCCGGACCTCCTCCTTGTCCTCCTCTTCAGTTCTGGGAACAGAGGAGCTTTTCATAAGAATTACTTATTCCTGGAAGTGTGTTAGCGTCCCTCTCATACACACCCACTAAGTCTCTGCTTGCTGTGATGTGTAGAGCCCTGAGATGTCTTTCTAGTTCTTTGCGCCCCTGTCATCTCCCATGTCCTGGGTCTGTTGCTCCTCCTGCTTCCTGGCTACACGATCCCTCACTACAACTGGCACTGACCACCCTCACCTTCCACCACTTGCGGCCCTGTTTCTCTGATGGCCAGGGATTCCCCATCTCGCTGTACCTGTGGCTTCCACTGGCTTCTATGTGTAACTCGTCATCTCCCCACATGGCTGAAACGATTTTGTCTGGAATCTTTGTCCCAGGGAGCCCAGTAAGTTACCGGGGCCCCATGCATCTGTTCTCCCTTTTGGAAAGTTGGGTTAGAGGACATGAACTGGTGGGGGTCAGGGGTCAGGGGTCAGGGGTCAGGTTAGCTCTGGAGGATCTCTGCATATCCATCTGTTTTCTAACCCTGTTGCCTTGCCCTGGAGGTCATCTCTGGAGAAGGGGGTGGGGTGCTTTTCTGAGGAGACTTGTGGCTTTGAAAGTCAAGACTTGATTGGCTTATAGGTTCATTCTCTGATGTGCAGAGGATAAAGCTGGAGGACAGGAGCTGAAGCCAGGGTCTGGGGAAATCAGAGGGAGCCCCTGTCATTCTATTCTGCTTCCCAGGTCTAAACCTTCCTTCCTTCCCCCTCTTACTTCTTCCTTCCTTCCCCCTCTTCTTCCTTCCTTCCCTCCTTCCTCTTCCTGAGACATAGATTCTATTCATTCTCTCTCTCTCTCTCTCTCTCTCTCTCTCTCTCTCTCTCTCACACACACACACACACACACACACACACACACACAGATGCACACCCACACCCCAGCACCCAAAGCATGGACTCTAAAGAGGTGGAATCTAGGGAAAGGTTCTGGGGGCTGATATCCAGAAATACTATGAGGCAGATATGGGAACTCATAACTGGGACTGGAAACAAATTGACCAAAACCCAGCTAACCCCCCCACCCCCACCCCGTGCCTCCCAACTGGGAAAAAGTCTGCATTTTCTTAGCTCTGGGGGGAAAATCTTGACGTGTCAGCCTTCCCACCTTACCTTTTGGTGCCCACTTCTTTCTCCTTTCCTATCATCCAAACACTAGGTCCTGTTTATTTTCTGTCCCAGGCCCCTGTAGCAGGGCTCGGTATCTGTAGGCTTGCTTATTTCTGACAATAAATTCACACAGTGTTAGTGGTGTTAATGGCCAATAATGGTCCAATGTGTTACTTTACCCAGGGCCTTTCAAAACACAGTGTGTGGTGCATATTATCTAACCCTGGCTCAAATCACAGAATAAATAGCAGACTGGGGTCAGGCTCCTGTGGGACTCCTGTGTTGGAAATATTCTCCTTTCTCCTTGGGCAGCCGAGTGGCTGAGCTAAGTCTGATATGACCTTAGTGTCAAAGAAAGGTTAAGTCCTTGGTGCATAAGGCTGGAAATGACTGATGATCTGTAACATGTTTCAGGATAGGGTATGTCAAGGACTACACCCACTGCGTGGCCCTCTATGCTTGGCTCACTGACTCTCATCACACTTCTGGTCTCTAGCCTAGGCTATTGCTGGGGATTCTTCTTCTTCTTCTTCTTTTTTTAAATTAACTTTTATTTTAGGTTCACGGGTATATGTGCAGGTTATATAGATAAACTGTGTTACAGGGATACAGAGTATACAGATTATTTCATCACCTGAGTAATAAACATAGTACCTGATAGGTATTTTTTTCTGATTCTCTCTGTCCTCCCACCCTCCACCTTCAAGTAGACTCCTGTGTGTGTTGTTCCCCTATTTGTGTCTATGTGTTTTCATTGTTTAGCTCCCACTTATAAGTGAGAACATGCAGTATTTGGTTTTCTGTTCCTGCATTAGTTTGCTTAGGATAATGGCCCCAAGCTCCATCCATGTTGCTGCAAAGGGCATGATCTCATTCTTTTCATGACTGCATAGTATTCCATGGTGTATATGTATCATATTTTCTTTAGTTTACCACTGATGGGCATTTAGGTTGATTCCATGTATTTGCTATTGCTAACAGTACCGCAATGAAAATATGCATTGCTGGAGTTTCTTAAGCTTAGAAAAGCTGTGTTTCTAAACCTTCTACCTTCTGATTCCCCCTCTCTATGGAATACAGCACTGTAGCTGATAGACTGGATAGATTATAAATGTATTCAGTTGAACAACTGAGAAACCTTCAAACAAAGTTTTGAAGTCCCAGTACCAGGTTATCCTTTCTTTGTGATGGAAAATTTTGTATGCCCAAGGACCAGACTGGAAATTGCTTTGTTAAAATTCTGGAATACTGTGCTTCTAATTAGGCATATTTGAAATTATCCTCTCATTTTGGTTCCTTACTTGTCCTCTACTGATTATTTTGGTATTTCAGCTCCCTTGACCAATTGGGTAAGCTAGATTCCCTAAATCTCACTTCCCTGTGTGCATATGGACTCAAACACCCCACCCCACCCATCCTACTATTCTAGATTGGTAGACTCCAGACTGTCTTGCTGGGAATTCTCTGTTCCAAGCCTGAGAAAGTGTGTTACAATAATTTTATTGATCATAGTCATGAGGCAGAGGAGGGGAGATGTGGGAACTGATAACCAGGACCAGAAACCAATTGACCAGCCAATCAAAAATAACTTTTCAATTCCCACTAGCACCTTCTGCTGTCCAGGGTGCTGTGGAACACAAAAGAAATATTCAAAGTGGTCTCTTTCCTCAAAGAACTTTTGAAGAAGATAGATAATTACTGTTCAATTAGAGATTAATTGCTAAGTGTTGTGGGGTTATAAGTAAAAAGCTGGCCGAACTACAGAGGAGGTGGAACCTAGGGTGGTCCTTGAAGGGTGAATGGAGACTTGGCAATGGCACATGGGAATTAGAGCATTGAAGAGCCTGGGCTGACACAGGGGAAGATGTAGGTTAGTGAGGAGTGGGAAACAGGATTGGCAAAGTGGTGGAGCAGGGTCAAATAGGGAGAGACTTGAGAACACAAGAGTGGAGATTGGATTTGATTCAGAGGCAGTAGGGAGTCATTAATGGATTCTTGAGCAATTACACATCATGAAGAAAGTTGTGTTTGGAAAGGTTAATCTGGGGTAATATGATTGATTAAGTGGAGAAAAGAAGGGTAGAATCTAGGGAGATGCAAAAGTGATCCAGGGCTGAAGGGGAGGAACCTCGGTCTGCGTTGGTGGCAGAAAAAATAGGGAGTCAGGGATGACTTTGAGACACATTTTTAGAGGTATAAATGTGAGTACTTGTTGATAATCTAGTTAGTGGGAAGAAGAAAATGAAGCCCATGAGGACACTGAAGTAGCTGGGTTGAAGAGCCTAGAGGACTGACAGTGTCTGGCTCATGAACAGGCGTGGGCTGGTTGAAGACAGGAACTGGTTTTGCAGGGCAGATAATGATGTTAGGTTTGGATATGAAGCGGCAGGGCGGGGTGGGGTGGGGTGGGGGGAGGGGGGGAGACTCAGGGAAATCCAGGAGTTGTTTTGTCAGCAGTTGGAAATGTAGGACTCAAGACTGGAGCATGGGTTAGAGACTAGGGTTTTTCATGCTGATTTGGAAGGTTGGATGCAGCTGAAGCTTTGTGAATGCATCGGCTGTCAGAGGGAAGGAGTAGAGAAAGAAGCGGAAGGGCAAAAGTTGGATTTTGTGGTAGAAATTCTTATTGCAGAAGTGGCAGCAGAGGAGACTTGATCTTGGAGACCCCAGGGAGTCAGTGTGGGCTCTGATGTGATAACAGGTTGCAGACAGGTTGAGCAGGAGTGCTGGGGCGTGATGAAAGACCCTGCGTGCTCCAGGAGGACAGGATTAAAAGAGGTGTCCAGAGGAGGAATTTGGGTGGTGAGTGGGAATGAGCTACTTGTAGAGTTTATCAGTGAAAGGAAAAAGAGGTGTGTGCTTAGCCAGAAGGGATGTTACTATCCAGAAGAGGAATTTTTGTTTTTGTCAGAATCGCAGCAGGTTTGGAGGTAGCAGGGAGACAATGTGTGGAGAGGAAAAACTGAGGAGGCTAGAATGAGTGTAGGGTTCGATACCTGAAGAAATGAGATAAGAATAGGTTCTCTACCAAAAGTAAGAGGTTAGTTTTGGTGAGCAGCGGAGAAACCTTTTTCTTTAAGACGCAAAGGAAAAGTAAGAAGATAAATTAAAAGAGTGATGTGGAGATACTAGCTCTCCTTCTGTTGAGCATTGGTTCTGTGAATCTGCACATTTTCAGCGGAAGTGTTGTGGTTACTTGGGCTTCGGCCAATCTCAAACTGTTTTTCCAACTCCCCA